ACGGCAGGACGTTGGTTTGAGAAGCTCCCCATCTGCGACGGTGGCCAATAACGGGCCGCCTGCACGAGGCCCAGGAACGAACCAGGAACACAGACGTCACATCACAGAGCCTCAACACCACAGGAGAATGTCGTTTACCACCTTCAGTAGCTACCTTCTCCAGGATTTGGCTCCTACATATACGACATTCTTCATGCTCTAAAAATATCCAAGATCTGTAGTTCTGCTGCTGAGCTTGTCACAGGCATCACACCCAATCACAAAGCTTCAAAGTTTCGATAGCCGCCAGCTAAGCGCCCAGTCGTCCACCATCTTGCTCATCTTGCAGCATCTATTCCAGAATTATCAAGATCCCAGCGTCTACCCAGGGCTATTTTTATCTCAGATCCGGTAGTTCTATGCAAAGCATCCGTCTCGCATGTCCAGACGCTTCCTCCACGGGGTCCTCCTGCAAGACATGGGTTGCGACCTGGTGGTCTGGCCTCCTTTTCTGGTCCGGTTTAGATGACGATAGACGCCGACTACAACACACACCCCTCTCCTCCACCAACTCTCATGCAGCAACGCCGGGCGTCTCGCCCAGGAGAGAAGCATGGCGATGGCTTCATCGACTCGAAGCGCCGGCTCCTGTGACCCAGGCAACATGCGCTTCTTCCCCCGGCGCCAAAGCACGAGTGTATTCCCAGGGGAGCTGCAGCATCATCTGAAAAGATCTCAACCAGCCGATTGGCGCCATAGAGCCTATTTCGGTATCTCGGCAGTGGGTATCATGCCGGCCGCAAGACGTTGGCCAGCCCGTCCCGAGAGGATGGAAGACGCCCTGTTACCCCTTGGCAGTTCATCCCTCCTTGCTTAAGGGTCCTGACCCAAACGGGGTGTCCACAGACATGTGCAATGATAAATATAGGAACAGGTTGCTATATTGGGCTATAGCCTCCATGCAGCCGTGGGTGAGGTGCAGCTCCTTTAACACGACGTCACCTCCACCGTTCAACGTCCCCCTGAGCGTCTATTTCATCCTCGCAATCACCGCCCATTCATTTCACTCACTCGGAGTTCCCGATGGTTTCAAGTGGTACTTTTCGATCCTGGCTAAGCCTATTAAGCAAGCACCTTGGTTGCCGCCCTGCAAAACGAACCGGGTAACCTCACACTTCCCCACCTGCTTGCTGCTCGAAGCGCCCATGCCCGGTGATCCATGGCTCAGATCCTCCCCTCCAGCCTGGCTTGTCGTCGAGCTCGATTGCAAGTCTCGGACGTCGATGATGCATTTGTGTTTGACAGTCACACAGTTGTACCCCACTAGCCGGCGCTTCTACACGCTACGGCCTCCCTTGAGAGATTTGATTTGTGGCACAACCAATCTCATCCATCTCTCTGCACATGAAACCGCATACAGGTTCAAGTGAGACCCTGTTTCGCCGTTCCCTAGGCCCATCTGTGTGACGGATCTCAAATCGACAACTACCGGACTCGGCACGGTCTCTTGCTGTCATCTCCGTCTGAAGGGACCCCTGCGTCTCCTGCAGGAACGTTTCTCGGTTGTCTCTCGCATGCGTCAAGTCACTGGCGCGTCGAGCCATGTATAGAGATACTTTGACGATACATTGTCCTACTTCTTCTGTCGTTTGGCGCTTTTGTCACTTGTACCGCTCAAGACACTCGCACTGCGTTTCTGCGGGGCACCGCTGCTACCTGGACGGTCGTCCTCATTTGCATCCTTAGTCGAGGCCTCCGGGCCTTTAGTCGTGGGGGCAGCTGCTTCTGCAGAGTCCTTCTTTTCGTTGCCGTTGGGTGTTTCAGATGTGACGTCTTCGCCGTTGGGTTTGTCTGCAGCGTCACTTTTCGCTGCAGCTGCCTTTCCGGCATCATCCTCGTCCTTCTTCTCTCCAGCCTTCTCCTTTTCTGATTCCGGTTCCGGGGGTGCCATGGCCTTTTCCCGCTCTGCCTTCTTTGCCTGCTCGACCTTGATCTCGGCGTCGATCTTATCCGAAACCTTACGAGCATCGAGCAGACTGTTGACAGCTCCAAGAAGCATCTCGTACTGATGCGTCGTCGCTGCTGTGGGCATGGCGAGCTTACTAGGCACGTCCAGTTCGTTGAGCACGTTTGTGATACGCATCTGTTGCTGGTTCGACTTGTGAGAGAACAGCTTGTTGATCCTCTCTGTCCGGAACGTCGGACCAGAACCAAGTCGATCATGGTGTGTGACACCATACAGTACCTCTTCTTGGCTCGTAAGTTTGCGACGTTCCTGTTGCTGTGGCTGACCCTTCTTGTTATTGGGAGCAGTGGGCGTAGGTGTAGGTCCAATAGACTCGCGATGGCCAGTAGATGCCGCAGTGCTCTCCCGTCGACCAGACTCCTGGGTAGCGGCCGCCGCTGCGGCTGCGGCAGCTGCAGCAGCAGTTTGTGGGGGCGCAGGGCTGGCAACGTCGCCGGGCATTAGTGACTTTCGTTTCTTTGACTTGTCGGCGCTCATGAGATTCTGTAGTAGATTCTGCAAGCCAGCGGATGACTTGAAAGCGTTGATGTCGGTATCGGCACGGGGATAATCCAGGCGATGGTACAACTCGCGGCGTTCGTCGTTGAAACGCTCACTACGTGCCAGTATGCGCTTGATCTCTAACAAGAGCGACTCCTCCTCCCGGGCTTCCTCACGAGATCGTGTCAGGGCGTTGAGAGCAAACTCCTTCCGTAGTCTCTCCTGTTGCGGGTTGAAGTGCGCCATGAGCTCATGGAGTGCAAACTCGGGTTGTGTCATGTACTGGACGGGCTTCTGCGCCGCCATCATCTTGGAGGCAACCTCATAGTACCGGGCCTTGAGGTCTTCCAAAGTACGTGAGCGTGTGGCCGGCACAATGGCCTTGCTCTCGTCGCCGTCAGCATTGGCTTCTCCATTGGTTGCGGGAGGATTCCACTCGTATCGATCCGAGATCAATGGCCATCGAAGGTCAAAGTCGCGCGCCAACTCGAGCAAGTAGTCCGTTTCCTCCTTGGTCCAATCTCCATGCTGCAATGACTGCTGGTATTGGCCGTCGCTGTATTGAGGCACTGATACCTGCACATTGTACTTTGCGAATGCCGAATCTTCCATCTCCCTGGTTTGATCTGTCCCATCCCCCTCGGCACCCTGTCCATCTTGAGAGTCCCCCTCTGGCTTGTCGTCCTTCCTCCTCCAGTGTCGCAATGTCAGATCTGAGGATCCGCGCGCCGAGTTCTTAAATGGCCGCATCTCCCATCGCGCGGCGGGCTTGCGGCTCGCGAAACGCCGCTTCTTAAAGTGTGTGACCTCGGGGACGATGGCGATGGGGTTGTCGCCGCCTAGGTTGTGAACCTCGCGTGCGAGGCCCTTAAGGTTCGGCCTGGGAGCCGAGAACTTTTGCTTCTTGGCCGGTCGGGGACCAGAAGACCCATCGGGCAGGTTGAGGACATCGCGGACATCGGAGGAAGTCATGATGGGCGTGTGTGTGCTTGTCGTCGGGATAAATGTGGACGGTCGGGGGAGGGTCTAGACGCGGGCTTCCATCACCAAAACCATCAAAATCAATCGCTCTATGCTGCGCTTTAATTAGTTGAGCCAAGAAACAGGCGCATCAATGGTTCGGTTGAATTTTGGCTGGAGCGGAAATCGACATGTTGGACGCGTCAAGTTTTGGGGAGCGGGCGTGGGTTTGGTAAAGTTTAGCCAGCATCAGATAGCGAAGTGGAGACATCCTTGTCCATTCGACATCACGTGACGATGACTTCCCCCCTGACAGGCCGATGTTCGAACGTGGCAGCTTCGCGGGCGCCAAAAGTTCAAGGGGAGAGGTCACGGTGTTAGACTCCTTGGGTACAACCTCATCTCGCACACACGACACTCGATTCGACTCGACTCGACACCTTCGACGGCCCCTCCAATTGCGCCCCCCGATCGATCTATAGCGCATTGTCTTGTTCACGAGCCCGCCCAACATGAAGTTCCTCCTGCCCCTGCTATCGCTCAGCGCAGCTGCGAATGCGCTGCACTTCTTCATCGACGGCGTCACCCCCAAGTGTTTCTACGAGGAGCTCCCCAAGGACACTCTTGTCGTGGGACACTATACCGCCGAGGAGTGGGATGATCGAGTCAACGCCTGGGTCAAGCACGACGGAATCAGCATCTACATCAATGTCGACGTACGTTGAAAGGCCCTCCTTGAAGCCATTCCCAGATGCTTCACGACAACCATGCTCACACTTATCACCAGGAAATCTTTGACAACGACCACCGTGTCGTCTCCCAGCGCGGTGCTGCCTCGGGCCGCTTCACCTTTTCCGCCGCCGACGCCGGAGACCACAAGCTGTGCTTCACGCCATCGTCCAACTCTGGCCGCACTGGCTGGCTCTCGGCCTCGAAACCCAACGGCGGCATCAAGCTGACCCTCGACCTCGTCATCGGCGAGACCAACCAGATCGAGAGCAGCGACAAGGGAAAGATCCAGGACATCACAACACGTGTCAAGGACCTCAACGCCCGCCTCAACGACATCCGAAGAGAGCAGGTCTTCCAGCGTGTAAGTGACGACTACCCCTTGAGTCGGCTGATACGACTAGCTCGACAAGAGACATCAGAAAGCTGACCACATCATATACAGGAGCGAGAGGCCGAGTTCCGAGATCAGTCCGAGTCTACAAACGCCCGTGTCATCCGCTGGATCATCATCCAGCTTGTCGTCCTTGGCGTCACCTGCACCTGGCAGCTCTCGCATCTCCGATCCTTCTTCATCAAGCAGAAGCTCACTTAATCTAATCGTTTCCGGGGTGCAATTTGGGTTCTGCAGCTCATACTTGTCTGTAAGGCTGGCTGGGTGTTGAAGGGATAGCCATGGATGGGAATAGTGGCAACAAAATTTTGGCATTAGATGTTCACGGGGAATGGACTCCCTTTAGATGATGCCGTGTAATGTTACATATACGTGATGATACTTTATACTTGTGTGCAGTTTAAGTTTACTCAAAGAAATGGATAAGACTATCAGTATCGAAAAAGGAGCTAACAACGCCTTTTTTTCCCATTATAAGATTCAGACGAAAAAACTCCCTATAGTGCTCTATCTTCATTTCACGACAAATCACCAAGTTGCTTCTTCCAAAGTGAACAACAACAACAAAAAAGACCAGACTCATCATCCCCACACCTCCTTCTTACTACCCCTACCTACTCTACCCTCCACTCCCCTACCATTCCATACCCTAGGAACTACACCAGACAAGACTGGAGACGCTCGCTCGCCCTCGTCTCGCTTTGCCTCACCACCCTCAGGTCGCTCAAGAGTGGCTTTCGTCTGGGTAGGTGATTACGCACAGAGAGAGATTATAGACAGTGTCATGAGAAATACGACTAAGAAACACCGAACCAGACCCAAAATGCTGCCCTGCTCGATCTCCTTGCGCCGTGCTGCGCTGGAAGATTAAACGTGGTTTAGTATAGTTTCGTGATGGAATGCCAGACATAATAAAGAAAAGAAAATCCCATTCCCAACTCCAAGACCAGATTTGCTTCCCCTGGCGGGCGGCCCTGAAAGATACCTCGGTGTATCAGTTCAGGAGACAGAGGGATTCTATGAGAGCGACATGATGAGGTACGAGTTTGAGGAGATCCAGGTTCCAGAGCCAAGTCTCGATACTCAAGCAAATGGACGTCGCCGCATCCGCTGTAGGGGCTTACCCGCCGAGCCGGGTCGCCATGGGTGTCGAGGTCCAGGAAGCAAGCGTAACAAGATTTGCTCCGGGTGGGCGTTTTTATCCAGCAACCACATCCCCTTGTGGCCGTTTGGGGACATCATCCTCAAGCTCAGGACTGTCATTTGAGACACAGATCCTGAAGCACAACGCCGCAGCAATGAAGAAAGAAAGAAAACCGTAGTTATCAACCACCCCCCTATTTAACCGCAGCAGAGCGTCTTCATCAGCTTCTGGAAGCCACTGGGCTGAGGGTTGGCAGGCTGATCGCTAGGCTGGGCGAGCTGCGTCGCCGGTCCCTGCTGGGAGGTCCTCGGCTGAGGCAGGTTCTGGGCGCTGTTCTGGAACTGGGCCTGAGTTGAGCCAGTTGGCGTGGCCATGTCCCGAAGACCCCCAACCCCGCTCCCCCTCTGCGCCGACAAGGCGCCGGGGACGCTTGGCCGATCTCTCTGCTTGCCCATCTGCTTGATCGGAGACGGAGGAGGGGGTTGCGCGGCGTTTAAACGGCTGACAGTAAGGTTTTGCGCTTGTTGGTGAGAGTTCGTATTCCCGGGACGATGGCCGCTGTGCAGCTCCATCTGCGAGGGGCCAGGCCTCACGTTGGGGTTGTGCAGATACGCGGCGTTGTGGCTCTTGGAGTCCCATCCCTTTCCCGAATCCTTCGAGATCTTCATCCAGTCGTACTCGCCATCCTCAACCTCGCCGGTGGTCTTCAGGGCCTGTGTGAAAAGCTCTCGGAGGTAGTCATAGTCGGGAGTATCCTCGAAGCCCAAGTTACGGACATAGGTAAGATACTTGTTGAACTCCTCGGGGAAGCCCTCGGCCAAGTCCTTAATCGCCGTCGTCTGCTTCTTCTCACCAATCTTCTCGTACTTCTGCTTGTTGGTAGCAGCCTTCAGGCCCTGCCAAGGGAGTCCTCCCCGGAGGAAGTAGAGGAAGACGTGGCCAAGGGCCTCGAGGTCGTCTCGTCGAGACTGCTCACGACCAAGATGGGTGTTGATACTCATGTATCGAGCAGTTCCAGAGAGTGACTTTCGCTCGCGATAGGGAATGTGTTGCTTCGTCTTCGGGTCACGGTACTGCTTGGCCATGCCGAAGTCGACAACATGGATAACGCTAGAGGCCTTGGTGCCGGGGCGGCCGATGAGGAAGTTGTCGGGCTTGATATCACGGTAGATGAGGTTCTTCTCGTGAATTGTCTGGACCCTGGACAACATCTGCTTGGCCACCATGACGACGGTCTTGATGGAAAATCTCCTACCGCAATGGTCGAAAAGGTCCTCAAGAGATGGACCAAGCAGGTCGATCACGAGGATGTTGTGAAGTCCTTCCTGACCGAAGTAGTACACATTAGGAATACCAGCTAAATCAGAAATTAGCATTGTGTAAGTAATATGTTCGAATGAGTTGGTTCTCACGGCATCCAACGAGGATCTTGTACGTTCGGTACTCATCTCGCAGCTGAGGAGCATCACTCTTGCGAGGTTCCTAGAAACCGTGTTAGGTTGATCGAGATGACAAACGATGAAAATCGCCGGGCGACTCACGAATTTGATAGCAACTTGTTGGTTGTTGAGCAGATTGGTGCCCTCAAAAATGACACCAAATGAACCCTCTCCAATCTTCTTTCCCACCCTGTAGTGAACTCCAACCACGTTGGAAGACGACGAAGCCATTGCGGCGGTAGTGGCGGTCACCGGACCACCTTGAAGAATGTCTAGGCAGAAAGACGGAAAGTTTCGGTCGTGGCAACGGCGTGGATTGAGTCTGGAATGGAAGCGTGCTTGCAAAAAATCGATGCCTGTAAACAAATACAAAAACCAGCGGTCAGTGTTTGATGAAAACTGATGGAATTCCAAGTTGTTGGTCGGAGAGTGGAAGGGCAAGGAAAGAGTCGGGGGACTGATGGCGTGGCGCTGCGTGCGGTTGGACAGCAAAGGAGGATGAGGCGACAGGTTGATCAAGCTGGGCTGCTGCCGGGTGCTGTGTGCTGGGATCCTTGATTGGAGGCGCGGCAAAAAGGCTCTTCCAGCCCAGGACTGGGGACGCAGGCGCAGCAGCTCCTGCACGACACTGGCCACGACGGGCTGACTTTGCCCCTGATGGCGATGCCGGCAAGAAAGCAATCGAGCCTGTCGAAAGGGGCAGAGCCAGATCCAAGATGTATCGATCGTAACGATGTCGGGTCGTAGGAGGAGGGAATCAACCGGTTGAGGCAGCAGCAGCCCGTCGAATATCCACGCCCCAAGCTCTATGGCTCCAGAAGCCAAAACAGACCACCAGCACCGCCCCCGACAGGTGTGAACATGGAAATGTGTAATCGAGTACTCACCTGAAGCAGAGAAGAGATGCCAAAAGGATACAATATGGCAGCTCGCTCGAACAGGCGATCGAATCGAGGGAGAGAAGTCGAAGGCGAATCCCCAAAAGCGAAGGAAAGGATGAGGTTGATGGGGAGATTGGGGATGGATGTAGGAAAGGGGAAGAGACCTCAGCGCTGGAGAAGGGGATGGGAGAGCCCGTGCCAGGCCCCCGACCGAGCCAGAGTCAGTGACCCCCAGCTCCACTGCCCGAGAGAACCCCCCGGCCACTGCAAGGCGGGCACCTTGGGGCCAGCAGCCAGTCTCTTTACAGCGTGCAACCGCTACAAGAAACAAGCGAGAGGGCGCTGAGGCCAACACACCCAACGCTGGACGCCAACCAACCCGACCCGACAGTGGATGGGATGGGATGGGATGGGATTGGGACGCCCAGCCTGCCTGCCAGCTGGGGCTGGGTCCAGCCCCAGCTTCCAAAGGGCCCAGTCCAGCCGCCAGCCAACCCGCTCTGGGACGAGGGCAGCCGGATGCAGGAGGCTAGGGGATACACGGGGCCGAGGTATCTTTCCTCAGGGACTCAAGCTTGAGGGCGGCAGATGAAGGGTTCAGCCACGCACTGTAGGTGGCACTGGCTAGATGGTCAGATGCCATCTGGCTTAGCGCCATCCGCTGCCAGACATGCAGGTGCTTTGACGTCGTGGACAGTGTGCATTGTGAGGTAATGTTGTCTCCACACCGTGCCAAGGGGAACCTCAACCTTTGGGGAGATTTACCTGCCTCTCATGTACCTACCGTCGTCCGCCCGTGTCGGGTCCCATGCTCCCTACCTCGTTCTGCAATCCGATAGTTTCCCCTGTTGGCCCAGACACTCACTGACTGGCAAAAGCAATCCATCTGTCCTGTCACTTTTCTCGAGTCGCGCGAGTTTTCATCATCAAGAGACAAACAAGAAAAGTCTACCGCCTCAGACACATGTGGATGTCGTCACCTGGACCGACATGTTGGGCTTAAACCCTAGCCATCAACCCAATCTATCGGTGAGCTGTCGTCGGTCGGTCACAGCAAGCCCCGTCCAGGTCGAGATATCCCCTTGAGCCTTGCCTTAGTCAGTCAAGGAGCCGGTGACTTGCCCATCGCCCACCGGGGCGCCGTTCGTCTTGACGACAGACACCTACGGGCGCGCGCCTGTGCCCACAGGATCCTCCCCAATGGCCCATGAGGTGTGCCCCTGGTCCCCTCTTGACTCGGCGTTGTCCACTGAGGCGTCCGGCGGTGGAGTCCCCAACGGCAGGCCCGGGGTATTGCTACTTCAACCGCGGCGCAATCTCCCAGCCTCTAACCAGGTACTCCATACCCGGGCCGTCCATCATCTGCGATGGATGGTGATGGGGACGGAAGGCTGCGGGCATGCATGGGTTCAAGGTTAAAATCAGGGTGAGAGTTCAGGTTCCCGTCGAGCGGGGGGGCAGTCTCTTTCTGGTGGTTTATCCTCGCAAGCAGCAAGCATCGGGGGACGCCTTGCAACCGGTGTGAAAGGGCACGGATCTGGACCAATTCAATTCCTCTCGACAGACCCTTTTTCATGGATTCCAGATGGATCGGCAGGTAGGACTTGTGCTTGGCATTACAACCGCAGGCATTGCTACGTCGAAGCTGTGCGGCGTTGCACCAACAAAGTGCCATGCTTTTTCCTCGCGGTCTTGACCGCAACAAAACGCAAACGCCAAGGTCGTGGCCCTGAGGCTCTTTTCTGGTGCCTCTCCGCTTGAACGATTCATTATTCCTTGCATCAGTACCTACCGAGAATAGCTTGCATAGCGGTCGGATCCGTCCCATGGCCGGGGATGCAACCAAGCAGCCTTGGACAAGCCACAGCAACGCGCCAGAAGAGTCAAGACGTTGCTAGCGCCCGTCCATCAATTTCAGCCAGGGCAGCCACTCCCATCCGGCCGGCTGGTCGTGGAACTACTCCGTTGCCCATCCAGCCGATCCGTTCCTCACCTCGCATCTACAGATTCCCTAGAGGACGAACTTCGTATCGAGCAGGGGAATCCCCTCCTTGACGGATGCAATCGAAGGCCTTGTCCTCATCGCCTGATTCATCATCTGCCATCTATCCCCATCGGGGCACGAGGCTTCAATTACCCAATAGTCCAGGACGGGAGGATGCGATGTTGCTTACTACCCCGGCCCCAACAACAGCACCCGGCTCAGAAGAGAGATATTTCGGCCAGGGACCCCCGCTAGAGGCGGCTCTGGCTTTGCCCCTTGTGCAGAAAACGTCCACCTCCCTCTTTCTGCATCGCGTTCCCCCCTCGGCGGCTAAAATGGGTGGTCCAGCTGCGTGTCCTGGACGGCTCGTCGCCAACGCACGAGTCTCACAAGCACCTCGTACACGCATGTGTTATGGCTAATGCACTCGCCACATTGTTCCCCAGCTCGGCCTAATTCGGATTTGCTGCCGACGTTGCATTGTCTCTGCTTATGCAGGCCAGCTAGCCAGGTCGCATGGGCACTCATCGATGGAATCTTGTCTGCCTTGCTTGCTGGCTGTCGATCTCAAGATTCCTGTTGACGACTCCGTCATGTTGACGCGCTACTCTACGCTACTAGGGGCAGATTGCATTAGGGAACATGCCATTGGGATGCTTCACCTCGAAACGGTCATCCATGGTGCTACCGGGACCTGGCTCTCAGCATCCGTTGCCCAGCAAGGGTGACCACTTGTCTAAGTCATTGAGCCCCCAACGGGATCAGACATTCCACTGAGACTTTCGAACTCAAACTGAACCCCGTCATAGGTGTTTACCCTGCTTTTAGCACCGTCTCTGAGCGTCTCTGATGCCAGCCGCGGAAATCAAGATGGACAAGCTGCTCGCTTTCGGAAATTTGAAGCTCATTTAACATTGGGTAAATCTCCGAATGGCTAGGCAATTTGACCCTCACAAGACGTGCATAGGCCGTTTTGGCCAATCATGTGCTGCATGCGGATGCCAATTTGACTTTTTAGCATAACAACAGCCAATTGCAATGCCAGATTCCCCAGGCCGTTGCTCGATGAACCATTGGAATGTCTTGGTTGTGAAGCTGGATAAAAAGCATAACCAACCATCAGACCGTCTCGACCTCGGGTGTCGCGTGGGCATGGAAGCCGGCTTCATCTGACACACGCCATCCTGCTAACGCGCCCTATAGGACGCACCTGATCTAAGATTGTGCCTGGCTAGGTGTGTATCACCATGAGCTAGGGTAAGGGAAGATGGGATCGTGGTGAAGCGCGAATTTTGGGAGGGATATACGACAATGGATTATCATCCAGGTTCTCTGAATTGATGCTACGTACTCGTACGCAGGGACCTGCGAATTGAAACATCTCATGTCGGTAAACGAAAGCATAAACCGTCCTTTCGCCTATGGGCTAGAAGGTCTGTATCATTGTTGGGTGCTTCGTTTCGGTAGAGTCCCAACAGATCTCATGACACATATGTGCTCTATGATACTTGGCATTGGTGTTGGTAGGTCCGTATCCTATGGCGCGAAAGGGGCAGTCTACAGTTCACCAGTTGCGACTGAGTACAACCATGAGCTCTATTTGAAGGGACGATCACTGGGTCATCGAAATGGCCAAGAGACAGGTCATCAAACAAATACCAACGTGCAATGCACATTTGCATGTAGTGTTGGGGTTGAAGTCGTGACAATACAATTTCACATGTTGATGTAGGGTAGAGGTGGTATGTGGTTGTAGTCCATCCATGTTCTCTACCTACCCAGCATTGTTAAACTCTCTTCGTGCTCGGTTCAATGTGGGATACGAACATAGACTAACACCTGGGTCTCTAATCTGACTTCCACTGGATTCAGTATCAAGCTAGCTAGCATGGTTATCTCGATGATCTCAAGATTGCCTCGGCTTGGGTTCTTCACCGAGAGGCCCGTCACGTGCCCCCCTTAGGAAGAATGTCAACGTCCAAACATGCCATCACAACATTCGGCCTGGCTCTGCTTCAACCACCATCAAAAAGAATAGAAAAGGGCAAAAATGATAAAAATGCAAAAAAGGAATCACGTCTCATGACGTGGGCGATCTCTCCCGCCGGGAATTGAACCCGGGTCTCAAGCGTGACAAGCTTGCATACTGACCACTATACTACGGAAGATGTGTGGTTGTGAGCAACCACTGTAGCGAGGATTCGATGTCGTTTGGACAACAAAACGTCTGTTATATAGGTAACGGAGATGGGAGGTGGAAAGTCCCATTCAATCCTGATGTTTTGCCAGAAAACACAGGGAACCAAAGAGTGATGAAAGAGAGAGACAGAGACAGAGCGGACCCAAACAAGGATAGCTGTCCACGGGGGGCCCTGCTACCCCTCAGACACTTCTGGTTAGTTCCTTCCTCACGCAAAGTGAGGTTCAGTTTTGTCCATCTTGTCCACCATAGCAAGGACGCTCCTCTAATTAATAACCTTAGGAGGGAATAGCCATAAAATGCGCATAATCATACACTTAAACTTACCATAAAATCTTCCATACATATGGTAAATATCATACTATACTTCTATAACCCGAGGCTTACTATCATCACATTTGGTGGTTGGAGAAATGCATTCATACCGACTGCAAGGCAACGCTGCTGGTATCCCTACCTCATTATGAACTTCCTGCGCCAGGCATCCTAGAAAAGAGGTCACAGTTCACCGAGAAGACAAGGAAACAATACTTTTTCTTTTCTTTTTGTGTTTCGCTCGTGGTTATATTGTTTGATAGTGTCTAATGGGAATGTCGCTCGTGTCCTCACCCTAAAGCGAACGACACCTCGAGGAATGGGCAAAGAAATCTCGTCAAGTGAAAAAATCGGTATTTCTAAGCCCATCATGAATTTAAACTCGAAGAATGTATCGAGCTAAAGGGTCAATATCAAGATTATCGATGTCGTTTTATATGATTCGTGAGTCATCTGAGATAATGAAGTTTATGCTGTTTAGATTTCGTTGCTGTACGTTACTTAAGTTTATTGAGATTCGGGGATGACTCTCACCGGAGATGGCCATGTAATCTACTTTTGCTTTCATAATCACTAACTATCGTGGCCATTGTGTTTAGTTCTGTATTCTTATACCTACAGCCCGAAGCTTGAGACTACGCCATGCATCTCAGCTTCTCAGTTCATTATGCTTGAGCCATATGCAGCCTGTGTGGCATCAGTTCAAAGTTACAACCCTTAGGAAGAGAGTTTCTCATTGTGTATAAATAAGCGTCATCCAGTTAGTACTCCAGAAGCACTTTATTTCACCATCGACAACAATTACTCAGCAAGGCTCTTCATACTTCCCCGTTCATGTCTACAACACGAGGTGCAGGCCCATCTTGGCTTCCGCCATACGAAGTTTACAAAGGTGTCGACATCGTCGAGAAAGGCCAACCAAAACTTGAGTGCCACCAGATTTTACACTACATCCGTGGGAGCCTAGAGGAGCGCCATCGCAGCCAACTGGAGACCTTTCAGATCCAGTGTCCCCATTTTCTCAAAGATATGCCACATCTAGGCGAGGTCATGGGGCTGATTGTTGGAACAAGACCGTCCCGATCTTTCTGCTGAAAGGCCCTCCAGGCAGTCGAGGTCTTCCTGAAATACTTCGGCCTGCCCTCCACAACTACCTCTATCGCCGGTGGTTCCGCCCTTACCGTGCCGATATAGAGTATGGCCAGCAGTCCAAGACGAGGACGCTGCGGTAGAAACGACTGTGAGCATGCACGGTACTGTCTGCTCCGGCCTCGACAGCAAGACGCCCAAAACATGGCCCGAGAACCGGCAGTATTACACAACTCGACCTCTATTCAGAGCCATGGCTATTACCATCCAGGGCAAAGACTACTCTCGATGCCGAGATTGTCGCGGGGTAGCGGCTCGCACGAATCTCGAAACAGCCATAGGCTTCGTCATGGCCCTGGAGGAACGCGAGGACGCGGCATTTGGTCAACAGCCCGACCCGGTTGCTTCCACAGCAGCCAGGACAAGCTACCTTTCCAGTTACGGCCGTGCCGAAACACTCGGCTGGGACAATGAGCCATTGGTAGGACCAAGCTCACAGTGGGTGGACATGAATCAGTATCCAACCTGGACTGGATCTGGAGCTCGGTACGACCGGATTCTCAACATCATGGAGCAAAGACCGGTTGAGCGGCATTTGGTTTGGCAGTGCAATTATTGAAGAGGACCCGAGGAATCAGTAGGTTGATGCTTCCTTTGCGGCTGCAATTGAGCTCCAAGATTGGAACGAACGGATGCGAGTAGTTTGGAGCAGGTGTACGGAATGTCAGGACCGCTGTCGTGGGTCTCAAGTTGACGCCCGAGGTTATCAACATCAAGCCTGTGGAGATGGTATGGCGGTGCTAAGTGGTTACAATAGAAGAACAAGCTAGGTTGACAATAAATAACAAATGGATATGGCAACATTATCGAGTTGACCATCCCACTCAATTGTCCGCGGAGATGCTTCAACGATGTTTGTATGATTCCGATTCCTTATTCCGCAGTGCAGCATCATGACAAATCAGACCTAGGAGTCACAATTGCGTTGCCCCATATTGGTAAATCCATCAGACTAGGCGTCGGGTGCTTGACGTTCATTTGTTGAGCAATACGACGGAGGCATCCATGTAAGCCGGAGCATAAAAAGAAAACCTCACCAACAGTGTCTCTCAACTCCATCTCATGTCATCAACATACAAAAAATGAGTCCTTCAAAGCTTATGAACCGCTTCCCGTGGGCAAAAAGCCCCATCATTAGCAATGGGCCTATGCTTGGCGCAGCTTCTGCGCAGCTGGCGACCGAGGTGACTAAAGCCGGCGGTTTCGGTACTAATATTTGTTTTTACATGTAATGAATGTAGAACAGATGAGGCTGATGTTAATAGGCTTTCTCCCATCGACGGCTGACCTCTCACCCGACTCGGCACACATCAAGACCCTCTCCAGCGATCTCGAAGAGGCCCGCACCCTGCTCGGCGCCGACCAACCGGCGGACGGTCCGCTCCGGGTCGGAACCAGCTTCATCACGGGGCACCGGTCCATCGGTCATTTCGCCGAGACGGCGCTGCCCATCCTGGCCAAGCACCGGCCCGCCGCGGTCTGGTTGTTTGCACCGGACGGTGACGTCAAGCCACATCGCAGCATCATCGCCGCGCTCAAGGCTCTGGACGTCCCACCTGTCGTGTTTGTTCAGGTCGGCAACGTCGCGGCCGCTCGGGAGGCGGTGCTTGACGGCGCTGATGTCCTGGTGACTCAAGGTGTTGATGCTGGTGGCCACCAGTTCCGTCAGGGTGCGGGCATTGTGAGCTTCGTGCCTGAAGTGAGAACCATGCTAGAGAAAGAGTTTGGAGATAAAGACATTAGCATCGTGGCTGCTGGAGGCATTGCTGATGGGCGAGGTGTTGCCGGTGCCTTGGCCCTGGGTGAGTGTTTCTAAGGTGGTGAGTCGCTGATGCTAACTTGACACAGGCGCTGAGGGAGTCGTGATGGGAACAAGAGTAAGTCATCTACGAGTCAAATGTTGAGAAATGAAGCTTATAACATCTAGTTCACTGTTGCAACTGAATCCATCTACCCCCAGTTCCGAAAGGACATTGTCCTTGGGGCCGTCGATGGCGGAGTGTCCACGCTGAAGTGAGTGCATCCAACCTACATTGAAACCGGGTTTTAGGGCTTACGAGACTAGGTCACCATTTAATGACCGAATCAACAACAATCCTCTCTGGGGACCTCTCTACGACGGCCGGGCCATCATCGGACCTATCCACCAAAAGTTCATCGCTGGCGCATCCCTAGAGGAATGCCAGCGGAGCCTCAAGGAGGACTACTCACAGGAGGACGCTACCCGAATCATCAGCACCTGGGCGTAAGTGTCTCGGGATAATTCCACCGTCTTGTCTAATTACGAAACAGGGGAACCGGCGTTGGTCTCATCAACAAGGCTCAGTCGGCTGGTGAGATTGTACGCGAGGTCCGAGAAGAGGCCAAGGTTGCGCTTCAAAGAGCGGCTGGTCTCGTCTGATGCGATGACGTATGAAAGGAAACTCATCCCATCTGATGTAAGACGAAAAGTCATGAATCAATTGACAGAGCGCGATATACTCCTCTATATAGTAGTCGCCTCTTACGCCGAGACAATGGGTGTAAACAAGAAATTGATATCATACAAAGACTGCTGCTCATCCAAACACCGTGATCCCCTGGTCGCGTTTACAGCTTGGCCTTTGTCTGAGCCTTCTTCAGCACGGGGTCCAGCTTGGTCGCCTTCATGACGTTGCCCTTGACCTTGAGCTTGCCGCCCATGAAGAGGCGCTGGGCATTGGCCTTGCCCTCGACGAGCTTGCCAAAGTTCTCCTCTGAGAGGCTCAGTGTGACTAGAGTGGTGGTGTTAGCCGCGCTGTCGCGTAGATGAATGCGCCGGAGGGTCCGGATGAGCGCATCGCGTTTATGCTGTCTTCACGTACCATCAGGCTTGGCGCCAACCCCGGTACCGACAGCACCTGTCTTCTTGAGGTCGATGTGCCAGCTAGCCTCCTCGCCGCTTGCGTTCTTGAGGACGAAGGCGTACACGCCGTTGCCCTGCTTGATGGCGTCGGCGCGGTCGGCGTCGCTGGCATTGATGGCGGCGTTGATGGCGTCAAAAGCGGCCGAAGAAGGGAAGTTGTCTATCGCAGAGTCAGTCTCGGGTCTAATCCCCATCTATGGCATGTAGGTCTACACGTACCGTTCTTGAGAGACATGGCTGCTGGTATTGTTTATGAGAGCTGACGGGTCGAGCAAGAGATCTGTGGAGAGAGGACGGATACGAGATGGAGATGCAAGAAAGAGGAAAAAAAGTGTGGGGGAATTGACCGAGGTTTTTAAACGGCGACTTGGGGTTACAGAGAATGAGAAGTCATGGATCTTGTCGACGGCGGCGATGGATGTTGGTCTTTTTCTGGGGTCGGCCCCCGATCGTTGCATGTGAACCTCGGAGTTGCATCATGTGCTCAGCCTTTTCCCCACAATCCCCCAAGCGGGTCCAAACTGGCATCAGATCTCTTGACGTTGTCGCCTTTTTGTTAAAGACGAGGAAAAAGATACATGGGATTAGTATTGCTGCCTCTTACTGATCAGTTGTACCCCCGAATGTGACGGAAGCCGAGTCAGTTGGCGGCAGATGATGGCCACGTGCTTTTGGTCTAGCTCGGGAACAGCTGCACCGAAGCCATTCAGAGGCCAGGCCTTGACTCTAAAGAGCCCTGGCTTGCGAGTTTCACGTGCAAAACGGTATGCTGAACTTTGGCAGTGCGAGAATACCGAGCTTTTTGTAATGAACCCTAGCGATAGTTGCAGGTGCACATATTGGCAGACTCATATTTGTCGAGTACAGTATCAAACTCAAGGCCCTCGCCAGACTGTCATTGGTTGCGCATGCACATGTTCGACCCCAATGCCGTTGACTCGGATCTTTGCTAATATTTTCATCACCAAGAGCTGAGTGGATATCCAGCCAGTATCGTATGTGTTGTTGTTATACATGTGTGAGAGCTAAGGAGCCATTCCCGTTGCTCATGTCTATCGCTTGCTCCCAAATGCTGCCTTCATTTTCGATTGGCTGCTTTTTACTACAACTGCCATTCAGGAACACCAAAGTCTCGGTGCTGGGGCCAGTTTTCGGGTCTGAAATAAAGTGTTAGTCGCCAAGCCATGATCGATTCAAGCCTGATACCACGCACCTGGTTAGGAACAGCACCACCATTCGTCGCCTCCTCTCTGTAATATCATCAGATGCTGTCAACCGCAGCCAGTCGCCGAGCCAGCCTCTCAGCTCCGTCTCACTCTTCCCAAGAGTATCAATGCCGCGCTCTGCGCATGTGATCCGCAATTCGTCGTACTGAAGTCCCATGGGTCCGCCATCCTCGATAATGTTCTTGTCGTCGCCTTCTAGGTATGCCATGCGGTACCGTCCCTTTGCCTGCCACATGCCGGGTGGGAGGAATCCCAAACGGTCCCAGATCGATCCGCTGAGGTGCAGACTCTTGAGGACATGAGCGCGCGCAACGGATTGGGTGACACGGGGGCTCAGCACGCCGTGAGGGTATTTTGACTCGAATTCGTCAAACGCTGCTTTGCGACGCTGCTCGGCCTTTTCGAGAGCTGTAAAGATCTGAGTCGGTATTCTGCAAGGGTACGGCACCGCACTATCGACGTATGCGACCACAAGTACGGTGAATTCCCCAATCACGATCAACATGAGCCCGAACAGAGGTAGCCGTATCATGTCGTGCCTGACCCTCCAGAGAAGAACCCAATCGGCCCTGGAAAAGGTCTTGGGGACATAGTATGGTCTGAATATCGAGGGTCGATCGTCGGCGGGGGTCCGTTGAAGCTTTTCTCGAAGGAGACGACGACTCGCCCACACATTCTTGAGGCCGTCCTTGTAGAAGCGAAGATATCCCTTTCCCAGTTCAAAGTAGTATTTCGGCAACGAATCGCAGTCCCTGCGTCGCGGGAGGGTGAGCGGCGGTGGTCGGGTCACATCGGGGGGGTTAACGAGGGGGTTCAAGCTCTTGGGGCCGTCATTGTGGATGGATCGCTGGTGCTGCTGCCAGGGCGCCGACGACGTAGCGAAAGGGGTCCAATGGCGCGGGCATTGGACCTGTCGGCGCTGACTATAGGCGCAGAGCCGCCATGGCGTTCGGGAGCTCATGGCCGGGGTGGCAGAGGTTGGGTTTCGGAGGTGATGTCGGGGCTTTTGTGGTGAGGATGAGCTTTCAAGGCCAAGAGCTCAAAATCTAAAAGGCGATGCGTCATTGGTCTGCTTGGTTGACGTCGGCAGATTCTGGGCCGGTGCCGATCTTCAGGTACCGTGACAAACGGTTGAGCATTGAAACCTTTTTTTCCCATCATTTCTATCAATATTTCATACGAGCAATTGAGGAATATTTTTTCGGAGTAGATGGTAAATGGTTCAACAATAATGTCACATAGCTCATTCGCGCATGAAGGTGTCCGCAAATGTTTGGTTGTTGATCGTGTGCTCTTTGGTACATACTAGGTAAGGATGGTGAACAGTGAGCATCACCCTCATCACCCGGTTCAACAGGAGACAACGTCTGCAAGTTAATTGAAAAGTGTCATCTCCTATTTCTCACTCCCAAGTCAACTAATATCTCTTCCTTGTCATAGTCGCATCCTCCAAAGAGCGGTGGCGCCTTCACCTTGTAGGTGAGGCGGACGCGGTGAGTAGCAATCTCACGACGAAAAAGGAAAACAAGAACCCTTCAATTAGAGATGCTTGAAAAGCACAGGCTTAACAAAACCCAGCGTTCATTGGAGCTGAAATTTCGACATGGACATGGGTCGGCGGTTTTTTTTGCAAGGAGGGACGGATACCCCAACCTCTTGGAGCTGCTGCAGGAACACGAGCCAAGAATCAAGACGAGGCCGTTGCTGTCCTACTTTGTGGTAGTGTGTTTCTCGGCTACTGTAGATCCTGGAGTGATAAGGACGATAGCAAACTTCGGATGAACTTCTTGATTTGAATCAATAGTTCAAGACGCCGTTGGTCCGAGTTTGCTTGCTCCCTTAACCAGCCACTTCTATAGTAGCTAGTTAGTTCCTGAGCAATGATATCTTTCCCAGCCTCAATGCGCTGAACTAATCTTATGTACGGGGCAGTTGATCTTAATATTTGGTCCAACTAGCGTTTACTCAAGCGCACTTCTCTTATCCTGCACTAGGTCTTCAGTTAAGCCCTAGGGCGGGTCGCGTGACCACTGTGCAACCTCTTGTATCGCCAAATAGAATAGCTAGGGAGGCTTTGTCGTATGAGGACTATCGAAAGGTTTAAGCTGTTGCATGCTGCATGCACGCTGGATAAATCTGGTGTTTCTGTGGCCTTGGCGGTCGTGCATGGGAATCGTTGACATCAGTACCGCTAAAATGGCATCGAGACGCAATGTGTGCATTTTTGCGGGGAGCCTAAATTCATACTGGGACTCAGTTGAAGCAACCATCCACGACTGAGTCTCCAGCTTTCAACTCCACAACATCAACAAACTTTGTGCTGAATTTTCCATACCCTGACGCATATCCTTGAAACCCATATTAGAGCCCTGAGGGTTTGAGAGGTCGTCCAAGTCGAGAAGATGGTGCGTTCTGGGTGAACCAACTACCGAGTCTTCACCGTTGTTTCAAGCTCTAAACTCACGTCCAAACCAGGTTCACGCTGATGCATCCAACTTTGCCGAGGGCGTCACGAAAGAAGATGCTTATGAACAGGTTCTCTGGCAGACTGAAGGCCTGATTACCGGCCAGCGCAACTGGGTTCGTAGCATCTCCCTTACTGCCGAAACTACTTGACTAATCTTTGGGCGTCTCCATCACAGGTCTGGTGAGTGAAACCCTACCTATTGTTGACATCCTGTTATGGACGGCTTAGTGACGGTTTATAGCAACCTTGCCAATGCTGCGTCGTTGCTCTGGCATGCGTACAAGTCGCTGGGTTCCCCAAGCAAAGATGTGAACTGGGCGGGTAGGTCACGGACCCTTCTCCGCGATGGGACATGATTGATGTTGATGGAATATCCTCGCACACAGGGTTTTACGTCCTTGATAAGTCATCTCAAGACCCGCAGCTCATCCTGGGCCCGTTTCAGGGCAAGGTCGCCTGCCAGACAATCCAGTTCGGCAAAGGCGTGTGCGGAGCGGCGGCTGCGTCGCAGCAGACGCAGCTCGTCCACGACGTGGAGAAGTTTCCGGGGCACATCGCCTGCGACGGAGATAGCAAGAGTGAGATTGTTGTGCCGATCGTGGCTGAGCAGCGCGATGGCTCCAAGAAGTTGGTGGCAATCATCGACATTGACTGCGCGGAGCTGAACGGTTTCGACGAGGTGGACAAGGCTCATCTGGAGCAGCTTGCCGCCCTGCTCGCCAAGGGCTGTGACTGGTAGAATGCAAATATGAACCCGTAGATCTCGGATTGATCGTTCCGTAAGCTGACACCTAAGGATAGCTTTCCTGATTATTGGTATTTGTGCCGCTGTCGATGAATATCTGATGACCCATGACTGATGAACCTGCATTGCTTGCGCATTCCTCCACACCCACTCGCCCACACCCACTTATTCTAGAAACGGGCGTGTGAAACCCGCGGCGCTACAGCATGACATCTCTCCGCTGGGCGAAACCAGTGGATAACGGAGCTGGGTGGAAACAATGGTTAGCTCGAAATTCATGCCCCAAACAATCGGAGGCGTCACATTCTTTGGCTGTCTCCCTAGCAACAGGGCGCCATGAAGACTCCTCTGCCGCCGGAAACTTGGTCGCAAAACCCCGATTCGGAGGGACCGTGGTGGAGGAGCAGAGAAAAGATTGTTTTTGGCGTCTCAGCCAGCCAAGGAAGATGAGAATGACATCGAGGCGGTGGGTCAAAGGCAGCAGTCCAGACGCTTCAGGAGCTTGCTTGGACGTTGAGAGGTTAGGCGAGTTGATTAGATTCAATCAATTGCGTTGCAGGGGTTCTTCATCGGGGTCCATTGGACGGGCTTTGGGTCGTCGTTGAGTTTGCATTGCAGGTCCCCGCAGACTGGACATGGGATCCGCCATTGCACAAGTTTGTGGGATGAGAGCTGCTCGATCGCTACCTAATTTAGCAGTCTTCTGGCGAGGCCGGACACATCCAGCCATCAGAGTACAGGTCGGGTGGCATGGATGCCGCTCATGGTCGCGATTATGGGCCGGCACAGACCACACAATGACGGATCACGGCCATATCCAAGGCCCTAAAGGACTTGGGACGCGGAGGGAGGCGACGAGTAATAAGACAAGGTCCTACAGGTGGGATGGAACTGTCAACGTCAGCCCACGGCTTGGCAAATCGTCAGTCCGAGAGCGTAGAAGAGCTAGGTACGCAAGTCTCCTGTGGCTGTGACCTGGCATGGCCAAACACGCGCGTTCCAAAGTCTTTCTGCGGCGTGCGTGCGTGCGAAGCGGGTTGCGAAAGCAGCATGGCGGTGCAGATACGATACGAAGCCTCGATCGTGACTGGTGGATGACTTTATCCAATGCGAAGTTATCCGAACTCCGTTCGGATTGCAAACTAACGGCGTTCAACATTCAAGGCCAGTCGCGCTGAAACCTGCCGGGGCTGAGTCTCCCTGTCTCTGGATCCTGAAATGCCGAGACTCGGCTAGGCGAATATCTGTTCCTGGGCGATCCCCTGAATAATGGAAACGGGATACCATCCGACAGCAAGGAACAAACTCGTCTCGTGGTGACGCGCTCCGACGACTGGCCATTTCAATTTTCATGCGGATCCCGTCCAATTCGCCAAGGTCCAAGTCAAGTCCCAGTCCCCTGGACGCGCCCAAACCTTAGAGCACCCCCTGTCTCCTGGCGCAGGTCTCCAGCTCCCTGCAAATCCCCCGACGGCGCTGGACGAATAGGCGGCCACAGCAGCGTCTAGGCGGCTCCTCGCTCGCCCCAGGAGCCTCGATTCAGCCCCTGCAGCGGCGCACCAGCCCCCCCGTTTTCAGCCCAGCCTCCCGCCAGGCGGTCCACTCCGTCCCACGACGGCCCACAGTCCTACCGCATTCGGTTCCCAACCACACGCAAGCTGGTGCTATACAACGCTTCGATATCCAGCTTTGAGGAGCTCATTTTGGAAGAAGAGTCTGCTTGCTTTCTCTGACCTGACATCCAACCCTCCTCCTTCATCCTCGGTTCTTTGTGGGAGTCGAGCCGGCCTTCCTTTGGCGGATTTTACTAACCATACAGCTCCATTGCGTGCGTTATCCGTTAGCGCCAAACACTTCAACGTCCACCACCACCTTCACCAGCTTCCTCCTCCTCCACGAGTTCAAACCTTAGCACCCTTCACATTCCCATCCGTGGTACCGTCACTTCTGCCTTTCTAATCCCTTTTCCCTTTCTTAAACTTTATTTCCCCCACTATACTTTTTCCGGATTATTCATTGTTCCTTGACTCGTTCATTCTCACTCTGTCCTTGGTTTCGGGGTTCTCGATTTCATTGCCGATTGTCGCCTTCTTTTGGGGCTAGTCCTTGTTTGCGGTTCCTGACACCAACCTATTCTCGATCTACGGCGAAACCAAGCTATCCCTTGGTCAACTGCGACGCCTCGTCTATGTAAACAAAACCCGACAGCATCGATTTTTCAACATTTTTCTTCATCACCTGCAACCTTAATCCCGAGCACCCCGCCCCCGCACCGAGCTGCCATCATGGCCACCAAGGTCAAGAACCCGCTCAGTGCGGCGCATACCGCGGGCATCTTTGCCGACATGACAGTCGATGGCCCCGTTATTGGAACTCTGGTCGCTATCGTCGATCGCGCCAAGAACTTGCCGAATCGCAAGACCATCGGCAAGCAAGATCCCTACTGCGCCGCCCGGCTAGGCAAGGAGGCCAAGAAGACAACCACAGATATCCGAGGCGGACAAACGCCCAAATGGTGAGCATCAGCGATTTTGAGAGCTAAAATCGAGTTCGGACTGACTGGCTTTAAACAGGGACCAGGAGCTGCGATTCACAGTCCATGACTGCCCAGATTATTACCAGCTCAAGATCTCCGTCTTTACTGACGACAAGCGGACAGATTTGGTCGGAGAGTCATGGATTGACCTCAGAGGCATCATTGTGTCCGGCGGTGGACAGAGCGACATGTGGCAGACATTAAGCTGCAAGGGCAAATACGCTGGCGAGATCAGGGTGGAAATCACATTCTACGACACTCGTCCCAAGCCCGACAAGCCTGCTGCGAAGCCGAAGCAGCCTGCCCCCGCAGAGCAAGAGCAAGGATCCGTCAAGCAGAGAACGCCAGTCAAGAGACGGCCGTTGCCCTCTGATCCTGTAACTGGCGAAGCTCCCGTCGCGACTCCTCCAGCAGCTCCCACATCAGCTCCTCCGGCACTACCTTCAGCAGCACCCGCGGGGCCTGATCACCGCACTCCCCCACGACATGTAAAGCAGACCTCACACTCGGGCGCCTTTATCCAGGCCCAGTCTCCTCTGCAGGCAGTCGAGTACAACACACCACCGTCGCACTCAACACGCAGCCGTCACACAGACAACTATTCTCCGTCAGCGCACGCGCCTGTACAACAAGAATATGTGACACCAACGCGCGCGGAGGTCTCTCGCCAATCCCGCAGGTCCATGTACGAAGCGTCACCGCGATACGATGACCGGGACTACAGCCCGAGGTATGCACTTCAGCAGGACCAGATGGATCATCGGGGTCACTACTCTCCGCATCAGGATCTCTATGATCAGCCGCCGCCTTCAATGGCGCCCATGGACGATCCCAGGCAGTACTCTCCCATGGAAAACGAGCGTCCGCCACCACCACCTGCCCATCGGAGCCGACAGAGCGGCACAGGTCAGGAACTTGTGCCCAGGGGCACCTATGATACGTCACCGGTTAAGATGCCGCAGATGAGACATGACGTTCTGAGACATGAGGCTCAGAGACAATCACAGTCGCAGCCCCAGCCGCAGCCACAATCACAGTCTCAATCCCTGGTGCCTTATCCGGGGCGCCCAACCTTTCGCGCGTACGATTCGGCACCGGCTGGCAACCCTGTCCCGTCTTCTAATGGAATGGTCTACGATAATGCGCCGAGACACAATTCCTATGACGCCAGCTACGATCCTCATTATCGATCGATGCAACCAACGGTCGAGGATGCGCCCGAGAATGGCGGCCCGCCAGTTAACAACTTCAGGCAGAGTGGTTCGCGGATGTATCCAGATGAGCTGGCCTTTGACGAAAACCCGAGCCCTGCGCCGCTGGTTCTGCGGCGATCAACCGGAGGCTCTCCCTATCGGGATGACTACTCGCCATCGCAACCTGCACGTGGATACCAGAACCAAGATGATGGATACCACAACCCGGAGGACTGGCAGGTCGCATTGACTTCCTCCCACCGACGAAGCTTCTCTAGAAGCCCCGGTGACAACTCATACCACTCCCACAGCAGCCAAAGCCATCATTCGGGCCATGGGTCTGAGCTGGAGACCAAGCACATTCAGAGCTCCTCCAACTATGCGCTCCCCAACATGCCAGCGGCGCTTGTGCCAGGATTGGATGCATCCCAATCCCAGGAGCTGACAGATCTGATTTACGAAGACCGCCGACATGATAGGCGGCCCCATTCGCAAAGCCTTTCAACACCCACTCGAGGTCGCCAACGAAACGAGTCCTTGTCAGGGTACAACCAAGCGCCGCCCGAGCAAAACTACGATCAGGGCTATGACCAAGGCTATGATCAAAGTTATGCCATCCAGCCATACAGGCGGGCCATCACATATACTTCTGCGGCCGACCAGCAGATAATTAAGCCCAGGGCCATCTCACCAAACACCCGCACCAGCCCGAACCCTCAGCACAAGATCAAGCGCAAGTCGGTCAGCCCTGCGCCTCCTCCGGATGAGAACCGAAGGTCAACCGAGATCCCTTTCGGACCCGATTCTTATGACGCCCTCAACCCCAGTCTAGTTTCCTCGAAAGGTGGATCTAGTCCCTCGCCACCAGATTATCTAGGTGGTGAGCCGACAAAGATTATCACCTATGATGGGCGAGAAATCGACCCTTCGGATCATCTTCCCGAGGATACCTGGGCGCCGGAACCAGAAAAAAAGAATCAGGAACCGGCACCAGAACCACGATCGAGACCTCCATTGTCGGGGGCGCAGCCGATGCCGCCTAGCACTCGCAGGGCCCGCCGCACTGGTCGCCACTCCATGTCGACGGTGAACACGTCGTCCTACACATTCTCCGAAGAACCGCGGACGCCTCCAGCGCCTGCAGGTCGGACTCGGCTCCAGAAGAAAAACAGAGCTTCTGCTGGCAATTCTCCTGCAGCGTCCAGTCCCTTGGCTCCGATCTCCAAGGACAACTACCAGGAAAGGACCACTTACGGAAACTCTTCTCTTCGAGGCTTGCCGCGAGCAAGCACCTGGGACTTTGAAGACGAGAACCGTGGGGTGTATGGGGGTCCACCAATCCCAGCCAAGATCCCTCTTCCACTCATGATGAGCGGTGCCAATGGGCCCGGTAATGAGTTGGCTCTGATGGAAGAAATGCAGAGGATCGACATCGGGGCAGGAAGGTCCCGACGAAGAGGAGGATATTGAATAGAAAGATAAACGAAGGTAATGAGACCTAGAGCGAATGTACTGTACAATCAAGGGGCTTGATTTGGCGTTAGTGGGCGGAACACATATGAAAGGTCAGGGAAATGTAGGAGTTTTGAACATGTCCAAGGGAATATTGGACACTTCATTAGAAATTGATGATCATATTTCATTCGCTTGTTCCATGCTTGGTGACTGTCGTATTGTTTCGTAGGTTACAGGAGAGCTGATGCTATCCGACGTTGTACACTTCATTGGATTCTGTCAGAGTTTTCCGCTCCTGGCTTTGTAGAGAACTTATCAACTGAATACTCCAGGGGCACTTGGAGACTTAAAAGTGATTACGAATTAACCCTCTTAGAAGTAAAATGTTGGTAGCTATGACTTGCATGTGGTCGTTGATGTTGGTGTTCACCCAATGGGTACGTACCGTTCGATGCTGCAGGGGACATGACACCAGGCTCAAAGAGGCTAGCGCCTTTACCTCTCAGCCATCGACTTCTGTATTCTTTATCTTATCGCAGAAAAAAAATATCACGGCGCAGCCTACAATTGCAGCTCTTCACTACCACCACCCACCATCGATCGCAAAGCTCGTCATCACAACAATTCACAATGGCAGCTCAGGTGGGACCTCTGCCACAGCTCAAGCTGCCCTCGGGCCCGACGCCCGTGACCGCCGAGCAGCGCTACTGGAAGACGTTCAAGAACCAGCTTCTGATACCGTCGCCGACCTCGTACCCCGTCGTCCACATCTCGTCCAACAACGACAGCTTCGCCGTCACGACGGGCACGCGCGTGCAGATCTTTTCGAACCGGACCCGGAAGCTCGTCAAGACCATCACGCGCTTCGGCGACGTCGCGCGCAGCGGAGAGATCAGGAAGGATGGCCGGGTGTTGGTGGCTGGTGACGACACGGGAAAGATTCAGGTGTTTGACGTCAATTCGAGGGCCATCCTCAAGACGTGGGTCACGCACAAGCAGCCTGTGTGGACGACAAAATTTTCTCCCACGGAATTGACCACTCTGCTGAGTGCGAGCGACGACAAGACGGTCCGCCTGTGGGATCTGCCTAGCAACGAATCTACCACGACCTTTGTTGGCCACTCCGACTATGTTCGATGTGCAAACTTTATGCCCGGCACCATGTCCAACATGATTGTGTCTGGAAGTTACGATTCGACAGTGAAGCTCTGGGATCCCAGGACAGGAAGCAACAGCGCTGTCATGACCTTCAAGCATGCGGCTCCTATTGAGGATGTCTTGGCTATGCCCTCCGGAACCACCGTGTTCGCGGCGGCTGGTGAAGCCATCAGCGTTCTCGATCTTGTCGCCGCACGACCCCTGCATTTGATCACCAACCATCAAAAGACGGTCACGTCGCTCAGCTTGGCATCCAATGGCCGACGACTGGTCAGCGGTGGTCTCGAAGGTCACGTCAAGGTGTTTGAAACAACTGGCTGGAACGTCGTGTCGAGCACCAAGTATCAGTCTCCTGTCCTATCTGTCAAGGTCATCCCCTCGAGTGATGATCCCGACTCGGTCGACCGTCACCTGGCTGTGGGTATGCAGTCTGGTGTCTTGAGCGTGCGCACTCGTCTCACTGGACTCGAAGCCAATCGGGAGGCGGAGCGTGAGAAGGAAATGGCCGCTCTCGTGGCGGGAACAATCGAGGCTCACGATGCCAAGAGAAACAAGCGGAAGCGCAGAGTTGCTGCTGCTAAGCGGCTGGATATGGTTGGCGAGGGAGCCGATGTTGTTATTGCCAACGAGCCTCGTCTGTACAAGAAAAAGGAGCGCTCATGGCAGAGTGATCTACGACACGCCCGGTATGCCATCGCTCTGGATCAGGTCCTCGACAAGCATGCACCTGACCACTCACCCCTCAACGTCTTGACCCTGCTCCTAGCCCTCCGTCACCGAAGTGCCCTGAAGGACGCCCTGGAGTCTCGAGACGAACTCTCGGTCCAACCCATCCTTAAATGGGTCTGCGGACATATCTGTGATCCGAGATACGTCAGCGTATGCGTTGAAGTCGGTCTCCACCTCCTAGACCTCTACTCAGAATTCGTCGGTGCCTCAGCAGAACTGCACGAGGGCTTCCGGACCCTCCACAAGAGAGTCAAGGCCGAGGTGGAGAGAGCCCAAGTGGCATGCCAGACCGGAGGCATGCTGGAGAGCCTGATGGTCGGAACCCTCTGATGGAAAAGGAGCGAACACGTATCGATACGTCTTATACCCCCTCGAGGCTGGGTTCGCATTTGCATTACGCGTGGCGTTTGGGTGGCTTAAAACTTGGGAGTCATGGAAATGTATCAGGCTTTTTGTATAGAGAAGTCGTTGAGTGGTGGAGGAGGTTGAATGGGTGCGCATGAGATGTTGCTGTTTATCATGGCCATTGGCTGTTTGCAGATCTCTTTATACATGCGAGTAAGCTAAATGAGCAATCTATTTTATACGCTTCGATACAGAATGAGTTTGTCATCGCTTGTGGATATGTGTCTTTTGAAGCTATCACTACACAACCTCGAGATGGCATAGAAATCTATCGTAATGATACTATTCTACTGATACGCAGACCGATAATGTCCGTCTATAGTTGACATTAGACAAGATGTTCCTAGCCGAGAGCTCTTTGTGAGCCATAGTGAGTCTTTGATCTGATACTACATCGACGTGGTGTGGGTGTGGGCTCGGATGAGGATGCGGGAGGGTGCAATCCATGATATGCCGTCTTGTCACTCTTGATATTTATTCTCTTTGAGGACGAAATATTCGAAACAGAGCCTTTTGTCCGTGATGAGATGTCCCAGTCCAACGCGGAATATTTGTCTATTTTGCATGACACCACGCTCCTTGTTATAGCCTCGATGTGACTGGTGGGAGCAAGCAAACTGCCATCTGACCAACTTCATTGATGCTGAAAGCCACCAAATGTCTCCCTGTATCTCTGTCCCATTATTTTAGAAAGCGTCATGATGAGATACTGGAGGCAAAACTTTACCATATACCTCTCTAATTCTTCAGGAATCCTGATTCAGGTTTTCGCCATATAGTAGACTCCAAGTTCTGGCCTGGACATGTTGATGTATACAGAGCTGCCGAGAAATATGTCTTTAAGGGGTTTCCAAAGCCTGAGGCTCCCTCTCTATGCTTTACTAGATAAAGGCGATGGTCTAGGCTCAGAGCTTAAAGTCAACATTGATGTTGTCGTAGTCTAAGATGGTTCAGTACTAGGCTGTTGAGATGCATGTAGCAACGGTGAGTTCCAAGGCATCAGCCGAGGGCGTGTTGACAAGACCATAGCCCCTGGACAACCCACGCCCAAAGGACGGTCCTCCACCACGAGAGTGCCAGAAATGTGGTGATTAGCCCTTCTATATGAACTCAACAACTGCAGCTTTGGTGATTGATACCACAAAGGCCCAACCGCTGTGGACCTGACTATAACCAGGAGTATCGGACTGTCGGCCAAGCACCATGCATCCTCCATGACAGAGTAGAGTATCCGGTGCTCTAGTCTCGCCTACATCACCAGGATACTCATCAGCTTTGCTAGGCTTACTGCGGACCTTGACTTTACAGTTGCCCCCCCCTTTTTTTTTGCATTCTTCTCTTGGTTTCTTGGTGACAACTTTCGCTAGCTTTGTGACAAGATTGGCAAATGATAAGTAAGCGGTGTATACAAGACGACTCCAGCTTAGTCGCTTTTCTACTGAGTCTCAGGAGGTGTCGAAAACTCCTGATACTCTAGTGAAACTCATGGCAATTTTCTACCTCGGCGGGTATAAACTTCTGTAGAGGCGCTACTTCTTGGATGAAACATGGAAATATACTCGATCTTTCAGGACTATGCTCAAATGGGACCTCATCTGTACGACTTTTCATTCGCACTCAAGTTAGTAGTTGCTAGTCTTGAAAGGATTCTTTGCAGGGGAATCTTAGCCTAGAGAAATCAGGCTACGCTGTGAGCCACGCCAATGAGGTTGGATCTTGTCAAGAGTTGGAGGACAAAACAGGATGCAACTGTAGATTGTATGTGTTGCATCCATCATGTTGTAGCGCACATGCTTAGATGATACTGCACCCTCCTTGCCCGCCTCACTCAGTCAAACAAGTAAAAGTAAGGCTGTCCTCCATGTCACCTCATACCGCCTTAACTCGACCACCCTCCGAGGATGCCCGATCCTTCGTAATCGGTGAGAGTAAAACAGTTGCAGCACGTAAAAGCACACCTACCTGCCTGCAGTAGATGACCGAAGAAAAAAAAGGTTCCACTTTGAAAGATACGTCGTAAGACTTCATGACTATGTCACTCTTGATCCCCTTTCTCCCTCTCACTCCACAATAACCACCACGTAACATAACCACGTACGTAGTAAGATGAAAACAAATAGACCAACCAACAACATCATCAGACTCCCCCCCCCCCCCTTTTTTTTTTATCACTCAACTTCTTTTTTGCCCACTCCCTCGGAGCCGAACAAGTATTGGCCCCCAAACACCAGACACACCGCGGAACTACATCCGGCTGCAAGGTGTAGCCACCCTCCCCTTGGAAGCCTTCTAGAACACAGAAACGGCCACGCCGATCTGGTCATGGCGCGGAAAATTTTCAAGACAGAAAAAAAAAAAAAAAGAGACATTCTGGAAAGATGGTGGGATGACGTCTTCCCCCACGCTGCAAGGGTGTGAGGAGGGGGGGCATGGTAGCATTCAAGGCTCTTTTGTACATCGGAGATGCTGCAGGCGATAGATACTATTAATGCCATGCCTTGTCATGCCTTGCCTTGCCTTGCCTTGCAGAAGAGTGCAGGGTCACGATGGGTCTTGCATGGTCTATACATGGTCTATACATGGGTTTCTTTTCTGTACAAAGTGGCGTCATCTAGATGGGGGTTCTCAGTTGGGCAAATATCACATCACGGATAGAAACACCATCAAGGACACAAATGTCTTGTATTTTGTTCTTTTACTCCAGGTCCCAAAACCAGCAGTTCCTATATAAACTAAATAAATAGCGACTGTGAGCTTGCAAAAATCCTCCCTCCCGCCTTCACCCAATACCTATATACTATACTATATACCTAGTATGCTCAACAACCAACCATCCATGAGTGGTATCTCCTCCATGTCCCACCAGAAAGAAGAGAAAAGGAAAATGGGATCCATGACGCTCGAGACAATCATGTGCCATAAAACGAAATTGAAGCAAGCGGCCATGCCATGCCAGGCCACGCATGCAATGCAGTCCAATCCTTTTGAGCCAACTAAATTCGACAAGCAAGAAAACACAAAATATCAAAAAGATAACCTCTCTAAATAATAATAATCAAAAAAGACATTTCCATGTATATACATACAGGCGGATGCCGACATGTTCGAGTTTTGTTTGTTTGGGTTTGCACCTCAAGGAGGATTATTCTTTCGTCATGCGCCGTCGCTGATGGTACAGTACAAGAGCTTCAGGGGCTCTCGACCAGCTAGAACCGATCAAGAGGCCCCCTTGCCCTTGCTGCTGGCTCTGCACTGCACATCTCATTGACCATATCCAAAGATAGTGCCTTGGTGTGCGTGCGCAGAGCGGGTATGTGTTGTGTTTGTGTGTGTTTGTTGCGTTGTTGCTCTATTTTGACAAGTCCATCGTGTGTGTGCTTTGCTGGGTGTCGACTTTCACCCCAACCACGGGACTCTCCGTACTCTTATGGTGTATTCAAAAAAGCCAGTCAGGTTGTTGTTGTTGTTGTTATTGTTGTTGTTGCTGTTGCCTTAACGCCGTGTCATGATGATTAGATGGTAATGGAAAAAAGTCATCAGCGCTGCCGCCAGTCTCGTCTCGTCTCATCTCGTCTCGTCCTGCTCCGTCCGAAACGGCCATTGTCCGTCATCACTGCCCGTGCGATGAACTCATCTGCTGTAGATGGTGAGGCATGGGCCTTGGAAGAACTTGGTCGTTCATGTGGTGAGGCACCTGCGGTGGTGCAGCCATTGCAACTGGTCGAGGCGTGTGGTAGCCCGGGGCACTTGTGCCGCTCGAGAAGCTCGATGTCGTCCTCGGGTCGGGGTACATAAAGAGGTCTCGCTGAAGGCCTTCAAGGATGTGCATGTCCGTCCTCAGTGAGCTAGTCGCTGTTGCTGATTGTCGAAGGAACTGAATCGTCTTGTGGAACAGCGTTCGCAGCAGTTCCTCGTCCACATACGAGTGAAGGACTGGGTCCTTGAATGCCGCCGACAGAACCAGTAGGTTGCCCCATTGCCTATCACAATGTTAGTTTACACTTCAGAGATTAAACCAGTCATTTGCCACTTACGCATGCGCTGTACCAAACACGTTGGTGATGATGGGTCGCTTTTCACCCAGACCGTGGAAGGCCCGTGTGCTCTCAATGAGCGCCTTGATGCCCTTCTTGGCCAATTCCACCACCTGTGGGTCGATGTCGCCGTGCGTCCTGGCCTTGGGGTGGATCACGGGTGCCGTGATATCCTGTCGAAACTCGGACGTGACGTTGGGGAAGTTGGGGCTCGATGCATGGTTCTTGATCGAGTGCGAGAACTGCAGGATCTGTCGGATAAATGGTCGATATGTGATGACCTGCGCGCCCCAATACTTGGCCCGCAGCCTTGCCGCTAGAATATCGTCCGCTGGAGGATCATCCTCCCGGAACGCAAAGCTGGGAGCCACCCAATGCATCCCCGAGACGGCATCAGACACAACCCCGACGTTCCTAAACTTGTCCTTGCCAGCCTTGGTTGGGTCTTCGGGGGCGTAGAACATCCGGTGGATGCTATTGAGATGTGTTCGGAGATACAGCTGACCGGGGTAGCTGTCTAGGATACGCTGGTCGTAGCCTTCGAGAAGACTCATGTTAGGATGAGGCATGTCGTCTTCATACGAGAGAAGACCCGAGGGCGGAAGCTGCATCTCGGCAATGAGATCGCTCTCAAGCTGTAGACAGGTCCAGAACGTCAGCGCGAGCTGGTTGTACTTGGTTTCCTGAATGAACTCGCTATTCCGCTTGATTCGTCTCATCTTGTCCAGACTCGGTCTCATGATGACCTGAAGCTTGTGGCTCGCCTTGTGGATAAAGGCAAAGCTCTCCATGGGCCTCCCCAACTGTCCATGGTACAATCCCGCAAAAATGTTGGCGTACACATTCTTCATGTTGTTGTAGGCACCTGTGTGGTTGCCAAGGATATCCGTGGCGTAGGCAAAGTACTCCAAGCCTGGAATTACTTCGTAGTTCTTCTTGAGACTGAAACCAGAGCGGAAGCCACCCACGCCGTGAATCGAGGACCGACGGCTATGAATATTTCTGTCCTGCTCCTTCGGTGATGGTAGTCCTGATGAATGCGAGTGCGCCGAGAATCCAGGAGGGGAGCCTTGGTTCGGCGAAGGAGGAACAGCGCCATTGCGGATGGCAGGGCTGCCGTGAGGAAGCGGTTCTGTCGAGTGCACCACGTCGGGCACGTTGTCACGATACAGACAGATCTTGCCCAAAGCCAGCACCGTAAGAACTAAGGCGCTGTGGATGGACCGATCCGGCCGGCCGGCGCGGGGCGGCGCGGGTGTGGGTGGCTCGGACCCATCCGGCCCTGGCGATCGCTTCCGCTTTGAGCCCGCAGTTTCGGGCGTCTGCGAACCTCCCCCAACGGCAAAAGCGGGCTTCGACGTCTGCGGCTTTGCTGATCGTGGATGCGCTGCAGGAAGAGTATCCAGAAAATGTCGAACCCAGTAATCTAGGAGCTTTGGCTGGATGATCGGGTGCATGTTCAGGATGTTGTCCTTGAAACTCTCCACATATGACCACACCTTCGCCTCCGAGAAGTCGGGGTTTCCATCGAATGCCAAAACACCACCCTTGTATTCCACTTGATCGGGGGGACTCAAGCCACCTAGTTGTCCCCAGTCAGCCGCTGGCGAAGGAGACGCCATGTCTGATGAATCGTCGGCCATATCCAGATTTCCATGGTCAGCGGGCTCTCGGATATGCCGTGATGGGTGAGAATCTTCGCCCCGTCCATATACGATCAAGACACCTCTGTTCTGCTCTTGGCTGATAGGATACTCGCTGATATACCGAATCCCTTCCTGCTCGAGATGATGCTTTGTTAGCTCACGAATCGATGGCCATTCCAGGAGTAGGCCCGCAAGAGTTGTGTGGTTGATCGGAATGGCAGGTTCTCCAGGGGGGACTGGTGGACCGGGTTCGACTTCCATCTCATCCTCAGGCATCATGCGAAGAGGAATTGGCTCCGCTGATGGATGATCACGGTGTGGTTCATTCTGGTAGTAGGTCTCTGCAGAAGAAGCGCCATTCGAAACATAGGGAGATGCTGGAGCGCGCTTGAAATCGTCATCTGTCGCAGGCTCGGTCTTCAATTGCAATGTCGGCGCATGCTTCGGTAAGAGGGATTCCATCTTAACCAGCCTCTGGTCGAATCGTCCGATTTGGCTCATAATGGTGCTAAGGGAGCTTTGCACAGCTGTGAGCCCCTCCAAAATGTCGGCTTGGGCCTTGTCCGTCCTGATCACCAGATATTAGCCAAACGCATGCAAACCAATGAATTGTGCCATGACTTACGCTTTGGGTACCGGATCTCGGTATTTGCACTCCACGCCCTTTTCCTTGCATGTCTTGCATGGCTTAGTCTCATCACACTTGGCCTTGAGCTGCCTGCAGCTGTCGCACGCCTGCGCCTCGTTAGTTTTTGCGCATACGTTGAGTACAAAACGCCTCATACCTGAGATGCCCGCGTGTTCTTTTTCTTGGCTGGTACGGATGACGAGTAGACGCTATAAAACGGCTCGTGGCCGGAGGGATATCCTCCATGTTGCTCGTACGATGGTTGGTGAGGGACAGGAGTCGGCGGGGGGAAGCTAGGAGCACGATAGCCACCCGGGGTCGGGGGCATCGAAGGCGCGCTTTCGTAATTCATGTGTCGTGGTGGATTGTCGTAGCTGCCCGGAGGGGGAGGGGGTGGTGGGTGAGAGGTCGGTGGGAGATGTGGTGTCGATGGCATCCCCTCGGGCGCATGGCCCGTCGAGTTGGGTCGGCGTTGATCCTCACCAGGATCCCGTTTTATGGGAGGATCTCGGGAACCGTACGGCGGGTACGGCTGATGCGCTGGATGCGCCGGCGACGGAGGGGGCTGATGCGGAGGCGGATGTTGCTGCTGTTGCTGCTGCTGTTGTTGCCGGTGATAGTCTTGGACAGGAGGGTAAGGCTCTTGTTCATGATGGCGACGATCGGCGTCGGGATGGGGATGTGGTTGCGCTGGCGCAGTATGAGCAGGCGTCGGCGGAGCTGATGAGTGTTCGGCAGATCGAGGGGGATAATGTTGATACGGGCTCGTCCCAGGATGATGTAGGGCGCCAGGAGGAGGAGGCGGCGGCGGTGGTGGAAGCTGGTTCGGATGACCGTGATGAGGGTGAGGATGCGGTAGTGATACTCCTTGTTGAGGTGTGCCGGCCGGCCACGAAGAGAGGCGTGGGCGTTTGGTATCGGGAGGTGCAGGATCCATGCTTGTGTATGCTATATATGTACGGTACTACTTGCACACATAATCAGGAACGAGGCGAAGAGAAAAGCTGGGACCACGAGGAAGCGGTGGCCATGGATAGGTACTGTAGGTTTTGGCGGAGGCGAAACAAAGGAAGCCCCGGGGGAGTGAAGTTTCCAGTTCCTTGGGAGCTGGAGGGGCGGGTGATAATTGGGGCCCTTCAGCAGTGGCAGTCGAGAGACAGGGACGGCATGGGGGTGGGTGTGTCTGGAACGACTGGGTATGATGACATGTACGAAGTACTCTGTACCGTCAGCAAGATGGGAGGTTTGAGAGAGACAGGAGGATGCCGAGTCAAGTCCAGTCAAGCCAGCCCCAGGCCCCGGCGGGATCAGCAGTTGGGCAGAGACGAGATGGAGATTCGACAAGCTCTCGGTCCCTGGAGACAGGCGACGGTGGGGCACAGACGCGACAGCAGCGCGAGGTACGAGAGTGAGAGGCGAGGGGGGAGGCGACAGGAGGAGGAGAGGCGGGAGGGACGCGCTCGAGAGGCTGCTGGGAGAGGGAGAAAGAAAGGCGCAAGTTTGGCGAGATCGAGTGGATGGAGTCTTGGGTAGGTATGATGTCGACCGTACCGTACCGTCGAGAGACGAGCGCAATATTCTGGGACCGACCGATGGGACCAGCCTCAAGGCTCAAGGCACAAAAGACGGTCTGCCGGGGTGGGCGGGCCAGGCGAGAGGCTGCTGAGAGCCAATTGAGGAACCGACCCTGCCGAGTTGACAGTCGGAGGAGGCTAACAGAACCAGGGGGTCGAAGAACCTGGATGCTTGACGAAGACTGGGGATGATGTCGGCGGAGCGTGCGATGGCCGACCCCTGCTTGCCCGTTTTTTTCTGCCACCACCTGCACCCAAGACCCCAAGCACCCACTCTGCCGACCGAGTGGGCAGAGGTCACTGTACCTGGAACCGCCCGCGCGCTGGGACCGTCAGGTACTCGGGCCCGTGAGGCACGTACGTACGTAAGAGGGGAGGAAGCGGGTTGATGAGGGAGCGCGCAACGTCGTGCGCTGCTTGCTGGCTGGTGCGTGCGTGCTGGTGCTGGTGCCGGGACGTGACAGGCACAACCACAGGCGGGGGCCCTCTCTTTTTCTTTCTTTTCTTCTGGCTGAGAAAGACTGGATCGTGTCGGCTGGTGACTACCGAATGTGGACAATAACGCGCGGGACGACCAGACAGCCCAGGCTCGTATGAGGCGGCACGTATGTCGGGTAGGTAATACTGTAGTATGGAGGAGACGCAATGGAGGAGACCAAGATTGAGATCGCGCGAACGCAATCGAGCACGCAAGAGCAAGAGCGAGATCAAAAGCAATGGCCGGATAACAATCAAGCGCGAGATGCGACACGCCAGCTCAACACCGCAACTTTGAGCAATGGAAATGGACGGTGAAAAGTGGCGGGTGTGCTTCCAAAGCAAATGGCCAGGCGGCGCTGAAGGCGGAAGCAGCAGTAGCAGCACCAGCAACAGCGACGGCGGGCCTTGCTACCGGCCGAAGGACGAGGGCGCAGGGAACGGGAGATGGAGGAGCACGCACACATGGACGCACGAGGGGGAGCTGTGGAGGAGCCTGCTCCCGTGAGTCGAGCGAGAGTGATGGTGGGCGGCTGGCCTTTGGTGCCTTTGGTGCGTGTGGTGGAGGCCCCGTGGCCGTGGCGTGGAGCCAGACCAGTACTAGCCCAGGACCTTGAGGGTCGTGTAGCGTGCGACGAGGGACAACCTCTCCACCGGCTTTGATTTTCGATGAGGTTTCGAAACCGTGGGTGGATACGGAGGTCCTCCCTCGAGTCCAAGAGACGGCCATATGACAATTAATTGCTGGTACGGAGTACTCTGTACGACGCAGCAAAAGAACCCGGACACCTATTTACAGTTGATGGAGACCACGTCAATCCCGGCGGATAAGGTCCTAGGACAAGGACGGATATGGCAAGTTGGAGGCTGGCGCTCCGCAGATCATGTCGAAGAAGGTTTCGCCGGTTCTCGCTCGTTCACCACGGGCCGTTGAAAGAGGTGAAGGATAACGGAAATCTTGATACCCAACTTAAGTGCACGCATGTCTAATGCCCAGTTTGAGGGGTCAAAGCCTCCGAGATCGAATACGGTCTCGGAAGCTGCCCAAGATGCGGCGGCATCGCCGTTCTTTCACCCGATCCTCCATCAAGTTTAACAAGGTGCCTACGTATCAATGACCGACTCTACACACACGATTTACCCAGGGATTGCTCCTGCAGTCCAAAACTACCTACTGAACTAAACTACACGGACATTGATCACGATGATGGCATTAGCACTGATCGCAGACACTTAGTACACATCCCTCACCCCTGGCTCGCATCCCTCAAGGATGTTGGACCTTGTTGAAGGCTGCCGTGCCACGTGAGAGGTTGCAGGTGACGCTGCCTGCGGGAGTGCGAGGGCCAGCGAGCAGCCCGGGCCCGAAGAGCGAGGAAAGCAGCGACGTCGCTAAGGACAAAAGCACGCCAGGCAGCCTCGACTGTCCTCTCACGCCTCTGGTTGGTCCAACGTGCTCCTTCCTCTCAGCCTGGTCAAGGCTACCTGGTTGGTCAAATTAGGCAGTGCCCCAGACCGCCCAGCTGAATATGGTCCAGGTACCCGTGTTCCAAACCTTGGGAAGTCGTCATGTTAGTCGACCAAATCCTTCCTTGCTGTCATCATCGTCCATCCTGTCGGTCCGCAATTCAGACAGCCGAATAAAAGGAGAACTGTCACCGTGTCGCCTCAGAAGCCGACAAACCCTTGACGCAGGCTATCAATGACCGGTCGGCAATCCAACCATGTCCATGGTCACCTGGTGGCCAGAGCCCCTAGCTAGCCGCGCCCTCCATATTGTCATATGAAGTCGCACAACGCATTGCAACGGGCTTCGAAATGAAAGAGGCGGCATCCGTCGTTGTAAGCACTGAGTCATTGCCGCGCCAGGAGCGTGGCGCTGCTGACTGAAGGGGAAGGAAAACTGCCCTGGCGTGAGGCGCCGAGGGCGGGCCAGTCCAACAGCCGCAGGTCCCAGTTGATGCCAATTGTCGCTAGACACCACCCAGGAAACGGCCATGTCGATCCCTCTCACTAACATGGGATACCTCAAGCGATCTTCAACTCCCGATGCACCTCAGATGCAAGCTGACCGTCCAATCGGCAAACGCTAGGGCCCTGAAGCAGCTGGTTCAGCCAGCGCAGCTCAGCTCTTGTCTGATATCGGACTGCCGCTTGCCCTCTTTCCGAAACGCGACGACCCAGCGATCCAGCCTAGACGTGACCGCTTTCATTCAGTTCAGTCCACCACACCGTTCCTTGACGGACGCCTGACCCTCGAGGTTGGTTGCTGAGGTTGGCTCGCTACCAGCTGGGCGGACCTAGCAGGCCTGAGGGAGGTCTCGCTCCCGAAATTAAGCCCAACAGTTTTGCTACACAAGCTTTCGGCCCGGCACGCCCTGTACTGGATGGCATCGATGTGCCGGTGTCACGATGACGACCTATTCCGTGTACACGATCCTGGCTTACAAAGGAAGCAGACCCTGATGGATTACTGGAGTGGCCGACGACAACAGCTTCTCGGTCCAAAACACACAGACACACAAAGTGCACCCACTGGCCGCACTCTCTTTGACCTGATACGATACGGCAAACACTTGACGAGATTTTGGTGGGCCTTGCATGGATAGACGGCCCAATCGCAACGAGACAACCAGGATTGCAATCATTCTACGACTTCCACGAGGTCTTCCAAGCTTCCAATCTTTGACCCATCCGACATCACATCGGCTGGCTGGACATGGGGACACAGCAACGGGGATGGGCGGGGCCGTTTTCTTTTCTTCTTCTGATTACAGGGTCTCGCATCGTCAATTTTCCGTTTCGCCAGCGCTTCCTTCGCATCAGCTGCCGGGTGCCATCACCTCCAGAAAAGAATGCGCACGCGCCTCGCAATGCTATTCTCATGAAACCCGATGTGAGAGAAGAATAGCCATGTTGCGGGTAATTCCGTACGGGAGGCCTGCATCACAAAGCAAAGTGGCAGACAGGGCAGGCAGGGTGGGAGACACAACACCCATGGATGGAAAGCAAGACATGGAAGACCACCAATAACGCTTTGACCCGCTCCTGGTCTGGCTCTGTTCTCACTGTGAATCTTTTTTGAAATTTTCCCCTCATTGCCGCCGCTTCACTTCATTCAGCCACTACTCCCGCCCTGACCGACAAAGCGTGACAGCCAATTCAACATGGTCCATCAACTACAGGCCGACTAATGAGGCAGACCCCGATCACTTTGCATATTGGCCGTCACCGCTTCTTCCTCTATCAACCTCACGGGCGATGAATGTCTACTGCGGGTGGGGCAAGTCCGCTGGCGAGCACATCATGATACACATGACCGGACACCGGACGGGATGAAAATTTGTCGACGACGCTCGCTCCGTGCCCGTCAATTTCAAGCTCTCGATACGGTCTCGCTAGTGTTTTCCAGGTCCACTACGCAATCCCCATAGCCTTCATCTCCCGCTGAATGGACAGGGACCATGAACAGTCGCCAAATGAACACACAGGTCCCGTCGGAGCGCCAAGCCTCTCCATGACCGGCTTCCATGCTCCAAAAGGCTTCTGGAACATGGCCTCATCTCCGCTAGAGCCAACAAATCCACTCGACTGTCAACGACTCAAGGGTGTCTAGAAGGGGCATGTACGATGGATGCAATGGCAGGCCTGTCTAGAGGTGCTTTGGTGCTGGACTGGACCCGTTGCAGAGGGCCGATGTATTGCTTGCATTGGATGTCGGGGTGCACCATGCGATGCGATGCTCCGGGCCTTGCCCGCGAAACCCGCCCTCCGGCGATAGCGCCTTCGGTCGACTCCCACGCAGCAGAGCAAAATCCTCATGGCACTATGCATGTGCCCAGCCTCACTACACCCATGTCTCGCTCGTCATGGCCGTCCAGGGCAC